GAATTTACAGAAGGATGTACACAAGTGGGTTAGAGAGCACTCAGCATGCCAATAATCAAAGGTTAATCGTCACACAAATTCACCCATAGGTGTTTTCTCGCAACCAGATGCACGTTTTGCCCATGCGCATATTGACTTGATGGGCCCTTTACAACGTTCGAACGGTTTTACTTATCTGTTTACATGCATAGATCGATTTACCAGATTTCCTATAGCCATTCCGATAGCGGACATCACAACAGAAACAGTAGTCAAGGTTTTCATGCAGAACTGGGTAAGCATTTCTGGTACGCCCGTAACAATAACGACGGATAGAGGGGCGCAATTTGAATCCGAACTATTTAATAACTTGGCCAAACTTCTAGGCTTCAATAGGATACACTGCACTGCATATCATCCTCAGGCTAGTGGGATGGTAGAACGTTTTCACCGTCAGCTAAAAACCGCTCATATATATCACTCAAACCCCAATCAGTGGATAGAATTCCTACCGTTAGTTATGTTGGAAACACGAATATCTGTCAGAAGTGACGCACACTGTTCAGCTGCGGAACTGGTTTTCGGAACAACTCTGAGACCACCAGGTGAATTTATTAACCCCAATACTGAAAGTCAAAAAATTAATTTAGGAAACTACGTAGATCAACTACGGGACCATATGTCCAAACTTAAGCCAATTAATACTCGTGAACAATCGCATCCCATATATGAACCTAAGATGCACGCCCATCTAGATAAGATGTGACAAAATAAAAGCACCCTTATCCCTCCATTTGAAGGTGCTTTCAAAGTTGTCTCAAGAAAATATAAATATTTCATGATAGAAAGACATGGAAACATCGACTCCATAAGTATTTATAGGTTAAAATCGGCCTATCTCGATCACGGACCACCATATGTGTTGTTAGACCGTTTAACTGACAAAACAATTACGGAATCGCATTGCAAAAACGATAAATCTTTACAAGTGACTACAACGGTTATCTGGGCACATCCGATTAGTCAGTCAAAGATACTGACAGTCTTGGCTGCAGAATAAAATCTAACCACGTATCTAATAAGGTCCCGCGTTCATTTAAAAACATTTTTTTTCCTCATACCGTCTCACCTATTTTATTCATTTAAGAAAAACATTCCAAAAAAATTAGTTTGTGATATTATACTACCCATAACTCCCCAGATCTTTTACTTTTGATATATAAGTGTTATGTTAATTTTTTTTAATACTGAATACATAAGGTAAGTATTCCTTAGCAATTGCTGAGTGATATTATTCAAAGACATAAAAAGGGTAGACAAGTAAAAAAAAGTTGGGAGGAACATGAAACAAATTCCCTGTGAGCATGTACTATGAACCCATACAACTAACCCTGGCAATAACGGCGAATTCAAAAAGCAACCCAGGGGAGTTTTATACCCTCTTTTTCTGGTTAATTAACCATGCTCGCAGTATTTCTTATATATATATATATATATATATATATATTTAAATTAGACTGGTTATATATACGCCATATGAACTATTTCTAAAATGTTTTCGGTTGAAGATATGTTTAGTAGCTTGATACGATCGATACTACTAATAATAAGTGGTTTTTAGGCAAAACATTTTGGATTGAACCATGGTCAAGTACTTATTAATGTTTTCATCATTTTTTCATATTTAGAAAAATTATACAATAGGTTAACCAGTTTTCCTGCAGCATGCTTTTTAGTGTGATCATATGACCCAGTTTTATTGGCGTCATTCAGATCTTTTTTAATTTTTGACACTTCAGAATCAATAACTGTGAAGATATAGTACAGTGCGTTACCTGTAAGGTTACTATATTAGCTGCATTGATTCCACATACCTAATTTTGAACACAACTTATAAGGGAACTGCTAAGTAATCATTTAATTGAACTGACGATATTTTTATCAAGGCTATGCTAACGTCAAACCAATTATAATTAGTGGTCCATACAAAATTCTGGAACTTAACGCTAGTGTTATAAAAACCATGTTATGACAATAACTTATATATTTTTGAAGGCTTAATTATAACGGAAAATGGAAATCTACCAAACTTGCAGTATCTCTATGGTATTATTATTAATATAAACAAAGAACTTGTACTATTCCAATATAGTTTACCTAAAAACTGGCATATTTTCAAGTTGTGCTTATGAACTTCTGTAAGCCTTTAAATATACGACATTAGACCAAGCGCAAACGCTCCAGCAACAATAAGAACTCAGACAAGCCGAAAAGAGACTTGGAGACTTAAGGGAACATATTCATCTCACCTAGTTCAAGCATATTATATACAATGGGAGAAGCATCTTTTTGTAAAAGACTACTAGATTTCAATAGCCTAAATACTGGTAATACTAGTTCTTAGTGCCTTTTTTGAAAAGGCAAGTCGATGGACAGGCAATATTGGTTAGAATTTTTAAGATAGACGGCATATTTCCTGACTTTCAACCTGCCCAGTATGATTTTTGTGTTGAGTAATAATTACTTCACACATCACGATTCCGCATCTATAACGAAGTTATAATATATAGCGTCAAGCTTCGCTCACCAAGGTAGAATATTTACTGATGTCTTAGCCAGTCAGGTATATTTTGTCAAAATATTAATCAGCTGTTGACAGCTCCTTGAGCCCCACCTAAATTCTCAAATGCATGAAAACACAAGCTTTCCCTTACTCGTCCCTGTTATGGAATCTTGTTTATATTTTACTCAGAGAACTTACTCACTAGAAGGATTTTCACAGTATTCAACTGGCTATGATTGATGAACCGTTAGTCAAACAGTGCGATTTTAAGAAAGCGAATTAGAAATTCGAAAATCACATATGACGACACGATCAATCCCATAGACAGAACATTAAAAAGCATTCAAGAGTCGAGACTAACGGTAATAAAATGAATCACACATCATATGTGAAACATATTGGATTATGAAGTATCCATAACATAGTACGATAACTTGCCAAGGTTTCTCCCTACAACCGGCGTTGTAATTACCACTGTTTTTATTTGAACCCTTTATGAAGGATCGGTAAACAAGCCAGCGTTTTAAATCTAAAAGTCAGTTCATGCACAGTTTACTCAGATCACAAGGGACTAACATTATTCTATTTCCACTACACGAATGATTGTCAGAATGTATGGTTTCTTGGTAGTTATTGGGGATTTAGTAACCGTTAGTTGGGTAAAGCTACAATACTCAAGCGATTGTGCATTAGTTATTATCATTTTCAGTCTCAGTTTGGGAAGAACAGGAGGCTTGATGGCCTATGTTAGTCCTGGCAATGGTGGTCTCTCAGTTGATATAACTTTCTATTGAAAGAGTCGACGGATGGAGCCTCAACCACGTGCTGAGGTAGTGAATTCCACTCGTTGATGATTCGATGGGGAAGTTGATAGTCAGCTGACAAGTTCTGGGCTTGTGAACCTTTTTAGAGTGTCCTCGTAAATTCTCTGTTTTGGAAGACAAGAAAAATGAGGGCATGTTAGGTGCAAATTTATCACTAAGCAATTTGAAATCTGTAATCAAGTCGCCTCTAGTTCTGCGTTATGACAACGGGAAAAGGTTCAGCTTGGCCAGTCGAGATTCATACGGAAGCTTTGCTATTCCGGGAATCAGCCTAGTCGCCGTTCTCTGAACCTTTTCCAGAAGCTCACTGTCTTTTTTTAAGCAGGGGCGAGCCGCTTGTATGCAGTACTCAAGTTTAGGACGAACGAACACTGTATACAAAGTCAAAAACGTTTTAGCGTCGACATGACTAAAAGCCCTACGTATTGACCACAAGGTTCTAAAACCTTTGGCGGCTATTGCACGGCAGTGTGCAGTAGTCTTTAAGTCTTGACTAACGATAACTCCTAAGTCACTATATGTCTGGACGACAGGTAGCTCAGTGTTATTCATCGTGTATGTATCTGTGCCTTGATGACCGATACGCATCACAACACACTTGGAAGTATTTATCGGCAACTGCCAGGTTTCAGACCATTCAGATAACTTCTTCAGGTCATTTTGAAGTTCCAAGCTATCACTCTTACATCGTATTGTTTTCCATATCTTGACATCGTCAGCATATAGCAAGACCGATGATGATAGGAGACAAGGAAGGTCATTTACATACAAGAGGAATAGCACTGGCCCCAAAACTGTACCCTGGAGCACTCCACTAAGCACAGTTCCCCAGCTAGATAACTTTGAGTTCAACCGAACTCTTTGTTGACGCCCAACTAAGAAGTCTTTTATCCACATCAATAAATTGCCTCCAATCCCGACATTTCTTAACTTATATAACAGCCGGTTGTGCGGAACCTTGTCAAAAGCTTCGCTGAAATCAATGAAGGCGACGTCTACAGGTAACTTTGGGTCCCTAAGAGCGCACCAGCTTTCACGAGCCACTAATAAGTTAGTGAGACAGGAATAACCTATTCTGAAGCCGTGCTGCTTCTCCGAGAGGATCCGATTTTTATCGAGATACTTAAACAGGTCCTTCCGAATAATCTTTTCTAAGGTTATAACAACCACAGGTTTGTGTTTCCTACCTGTTTTGAAGACAGGACTTATTATGGCGTTTTTCCAGTCTTTCGGTAAATGACCCTGCGTAACGGATAGGTTAAAACATGTACTTAAAGGGTTCGCAACGAAGTTAGATAATTCCTTCAGTAACCTAGGATGTAATTCATCGGGCCCCGTGGTACACTGAAGTCTTCTAGGATTAGACATCGATTCCGCTAGACTCCCTAGTCTGTACACCTTTAGCAAGGTGACCCCGGTCATATTTTGAGGCATGAGTTGATTAAGCAGCTCAAAACGAGCTTAAGATTCAGAACATATCCAAGTTTCTGGAAAGAAAGAGCAGGAAATTGGCATAAAAACTGGTTCTGAGTTGTTGTGTGAACGTTTATAGTCATTTAGGGATTACATAGAATATCGAAAGCGTATTGATTCTTGGACGACCTTCAAGTAACCTTTTACTGTCGCAAAAATTTAAGCACGGTTTTGGTAAGTTAGGTTTGTGCTGCTACCTAATTCCAGATACCAAGTCCTCATGACTTTTTTTCAGAGAAGATTGGTTTCTATATTCCTACTCTCCATAAAGACATTGTATGGAACACATCTGTGTTTCATCTCCTTGTCGATTTGACACTGAGTAAATTCATTATTTTAGTCTTTAGTAGTGATTACAGGTAGTCTATTGACCTACATTAATTCTTGCAGTTTGTAACACAGTGGTAGTTAATGTCGTTTTGACTACATCAACAGAAGGTGCTGACTGACAGTGCGCACTAGTTAAAAAGGACAGTAACATGTCACTGTCATATGATTCCTCGTTGAGTTAAATTTACTTTTTTGATCGTAAATTAAGCATCAAAACTATTGTTTACACTTTAGTTGAAATTACTTCAGTTAAAGTGATATTGTACTTGCATTTATTGACTTTGCTGTTGTGTATCTATTGTATCAAAACATACCTGGTCGACTTCGACTTGATTTATTCGGTTAAGGCTTGAATCCCACTGCCTATAAAAGGTGCTCAAAGCCTAACTCCTATTGGCTCTGTGTGTTTTATTGTTCGAGCAAAAGTTACTCACCCTAGAGGCAACTAGCATTCTGGCGTTGGCTAAAAAAAGATTGTTGAGGGCTGTACGGGCAATATGTGTACTGAATACATCAGTGTCGTAAGTGCTTTCGCGGAACATACCAGATACCCAACTGTGCAACACTCAGTAGGGATTTCTATTCTGAAACAACTAATGGGCGACAGACCACTAGATACTGGTGGCCAAGTTGCTACAGCAGCGACTGATGCCCCAGACGAAACTGTTATAGTGTGGATGCTGCGACTGGTGGGAAATGAATGACCAAAAACTGTCCACCATGAATAACTAAACAGGTTAAGAAACTTCTTAAACGTAGGTAAAAACATTGGAGTATGTTTATATCTGTAGGCTTAGAACAGTATAGATCTGGTTACTGTAAGACTAGGTATGCTTGTAAAGCGTTGATAAGTAAGACTAGACAGTCACATGAAAAACATTTCGATAGGGATTGAAGACATAGTCCCAGAAGGTTATTATCGTATATGAAGAGGAGAACTCACAGAACTGATAGAATCCCATCACTTTTGGTACAAGAAAATATGTTGATATTGGCATGAGACGATGCCGAGAAAACGGAAGCTTTATCAGAATATCTTAATAAAATGTTTTCCACCGGCAATGAGGGATGACCATCAATTAATCGTGATCAAGGCGGCTTGTCGATGGGTCTTGTAGTTATTGGGAAAGGAACTGTCTTAAGATTACTTCAACATCTCAGGCCAGATAAGTTCGGTGGTCTTGACGATATTCGTCTTAGGACTATGAAAGCCCCATCGGATGTAATTGCTGGAAGTATGACCATATTGTTTGGTATGTCCTTGCGGCAGTCCGGACTGCCAAGAGACTGAAAACATGCAATTATCAGTCCGGTGTATAAGGTGAGGAGCAGAAACTTAGTAACTGTCGATTCGTTAGTCTAACCAGTGTAGTCAAATCAATGGAAAAGATTATTCGGATGACCATTTCGAACTATTTAAAAGGGCACAATTTTTATCCAGGGAATATGGTTTTATGAAAGGCTTATCATGCTTGACAAATCTGCTCATGGCAAGAGAAGAGTGGGATACAGCTAAATATAGAAATATTCCTGTAGATGTGATTTTCATAGATCTAGGTAAAGCCTTTAACAAGGTTTCTCATCGGTATTTTAAATTAAAAGTGAAAAGTCTTGAGATGCATTATGAAATAATGGAATGAAATAATAATAAAACTATTAAAGTGATTTTCTTAATGATAGAAGTCTGCGAGTGGGGGTAAATGGGGCTTTCTCGGTATGGGAATCTGTAAAACGTGGGGTTTCTCAGGGTAAAATCCTTGGCCCTTTCCTCGTTGTACTTTATGTGAGTGACTTATTAACTGTGGCAAAGTCACCCGTTTTACTGTCACCGATGACATGAGGGTTCGGAGGCCCACATACAGTATGTCAGATAGAATAATATTACAGGATGACCTCAACTCACTGATTGCATGGATAAACAGGTGGCCATTAGAAATCAACTCTAACAAGAGTATGGTGGTGCAAATACATAACTCCGACGATTCATATCACTACATAGTATGTGGAGTTGTGTTACCTAAACTAATGGACTATAAAGATCAAGGAGTAGTGATAAACAGAGACCTCAAAACTACGAGTAACTGCAAGTTTACCACTGTCATGAGCTATTCGTAAGTCATTTCATTACTTGGACGAAGAAATGTTCAGGGTATTATACCCGACTTATGTGGGACCGTATTTTGAATATGGGATTCAATCAGCGATTTCTTGTTTCAAGTATGAGGTAGATATTATAGAACGAGTTCAACGACGGGAAATCAAAATGATAAAAGGTCTCTCTGGCCTATCCTATGAAGACAGAATGAGACACCTACACCAATTTCCGTTATCTTACTGCAGATTACGGGGTGATCTAATATTGACTTGTCGTATACTGAACGATGACCTTGGTATAACTATTTATTTATTTATTTGAATACATAAATATTGGTATAAGAGAGAGCCAATATATATGCGCCACACAAAGCGTGGTTTCAGAAAAACTGCTTCAGCACTCATATTCGGTGGTAACATACAATTTTCAGCCGGACAGTGACTCGAGAACGTTTAGATAGAGTCGAATTTCCACCATAGACGAGCTGCTGTATAAGTCGAAAGAAATAAGAATAGACAGAGTAGGAATAAAAGAGGGTGAATAATGGTGTAGTAAATAATAATGATAATAACAATAATAATTTGAATCATTTCATTGTTAGTTGAAGCAAGTAAAGTGGTTTCCATAATTATAGGCGGTCCATCATTTGTGTGTGGGCTGTGATACTGCCCGGGTGCCTAGACCGAAGCAGGTGGTTATCTTAAGAGGCCACACCCCGAGCCTTTCCCGACCGTTGTTGCTACCTTAACGTGGTGGTCGGGCTTGCCTATCGTTATGAAGCAACCGAGCTATACTGGCTGGAACAACCGTTCCTCAACGTCCTACCATGTTAGACGGGTCGGTTGAAGAGCGGTAAGACTGAAAGCAACAAACCCGAGGTCCGAAGGCGAAGTCGTACTACTGACTGTACAGAAGTGTGACAGCAGTAAGGTGTTTCCTTCAGACAACCAGCATGACAGCGATGCTGCCTTCCTACAAGGAGGGGTGGGGTTAGAAAAGGTCGACCCTAAAAATGCACACCTCGCCTTATCCCACGGATATCCGTCTCCGGCAGTAAGGTCTCAACAAGTACGGAGCTAACACAAAAATTACCCATACAAAGGTCGTGTGTGACCGACTTCAAGCAGTTGTTCCTTGGGCGTTGCGGTCACGCTCCCAGGTCACTAAGACCACCTGTAATCCAATTTCCTTTTCAGGTACCTCCTCCTCTCCGAGCCTTTGACCTAAAGGTCTAACCCACAAGGCAGTGGAGCATCGTATTTATTTATTTGAACACAAATATTGGTACAAGAGAGCGCCAATATATATGCGCCACACAAAACAATGAAAATTCGAAGAGAAGGAAAAAAGGTAAGGAGAGTAAAAAAAAGAGAACAACAACGAAAAGGTTGGTGTAAGGCAGTGTAGTAATAATAATAGTAATAATCAGGGAACGGAAAGGTACAATCAGAAGAAATCTATCAGTTAGGGGAGACACAACCACTTTTTAATGAAGAAATTAAAAGAAGGTTACAGCAGGATCGCCACTGGCTTCTATTCTGAGCCATATCTGATAACGTCTCTAGCCAATGTGTTGCACCATCTCTCGGACCCCAACCAGGGAGTCGTGAAGGACCGACAGAAGCCAGTCCTTTGCAACTTTCTTTCATGCCACGACACCATGTCATGCACTGACCACCTCTCCGCTTTTTCCAACCAGTCTCAGAGTCGGCAGATCATGCACGACCTGGAATTCTCTGGGACGACATTCCGAGAACATGTCCAAGCCACCGAAGTCGGTGCTTCAAGATGGTGACACCAATTGAATTGTCGTCTCTGTGCTCGAAAACACGATGCCGAACCTCTGCATTACTAACATGGTGTTGCCACTGGATGTCAGCAATCCCTCGGAGACAACGATGATCGAACACAGAGAGTCGACTAACATCCTCAACTCGGAGAGGCCAGGTTTCACAAGCATAGAGCAAAACTGCTCTCACCGACGCGTTGTAGATCCGACCTTTTACAGCCAGGCTAACATCACGAAGGCGCCAAAAGTGGCCCAGATTGGCATAAGCCGCTCTGGCTTTCACTATACGTGCATTGATCTCATCACTCACACCTCCACCAGTACTTATGCAGCAACCTAGATACACGAACTTCTCGACTACGTCTATCTGCTCACCATCCAGGGTGAGTACAGGATTAGAATCCTGCCAGTCTTGTAGAAGAACTTTGCACTTCGAAGGTGCAAAGCACATACCATACCTACGGACACTGATTGCCAACTGATTAAGTGCGGATTGCATGGCTTGGGCATTACCGCACAGTAAGACAATATCGTCCGCATACTCAAGGTCGAGAAGTCTTTCTCCAGGCAACAGATCCACACCACCATTACTTACATTCATCAGAGCTGTTTCCAGAATGTCAACGAGGGCAAAGTTGAAGAGGAATGGTGAGATTGGGCAACCCTGCCTAACCCCACTGCTCGAATGGAACAATGGAAAGAGGTGGTTGTATGCCCTCACTCTGCCTGAGGTGTTTGTATATAGGGCCTTTAAGATGTTAATAAACTTCTCGGGCACGCTCTTCTTCAATAGACAATCCCGGAGGACAATCCTGTCCAACGAATCGAAGGCAGTCGTGATGTCAAGAAACACTACGATTGTTAGCCTTTGATTAGTATGGCGGTGTTCTAACATTTGGCGGAGGGTGAAGATATGACCAACACATCCTCGACCAGAACGAAACCCAGCCTGCTCCTCGCGAGTCAATCTTTCTCGGGTTTTGAACAGTCTACGAAGTATGACGGAAGCCAATAGTTTGGACGCAATCGGAAGTAGACTTATCCCCCGATAGTTGTTACAGGAAAGACGTGAACCCTTTTTAAAGATAGGGACAACTATCGGCTAATTCCATGACGTTGGTACACTCTCTACCTCCCAAACCTTTGTAAACAACGTCGTCAATTCCCTAGTCAGAAAGTCACCACAATCCTTAAAAAGAGCCGGAGGTAAGTCATCTGGGCCAGGTGATTTGTAACGCTTCAAGAGTTGGAGTTCCTTGCGGACTTCCGCCTCATTTGGTGGATCAGTCGTCACCGGCCATGGAGGGCAGGACAGTCTGACCGATGTTGCCGGGGCAGCAGGCCAGTTGAACTGCCCTTCGAAAAATTCTGCCCATCGTCCAAGACGTCGATGGATGTTAGTGATTGGCATCCCATCATCCTCGCAGATTGTTTCACTCACATCAGACTTCTTGCTGCCAGTGGCTCGGATGAGTTGAAAGAGCTTCCGGTAGTTACCAGATGCAGCTGCTGTTTCCAGCTCATTAGCACGCTTCGACCACCAGGCTTCTCGGTCCTTACGCAAGCTTTGCCCTATTTCCTTACGTAACATCCTTGGTTTGTGGTCAAACTCACGGTCACCCGGAGTAGACCGATTGGCTTCATTGAGTTGTAAGGAACCTGAAGAAACCCAGTGCTTATAAGCGGAACGTTTCGCGAACCCACAACTGACTGTACCCGCCATTTTCATGGTGTCATGCAATTGCAACCAATGCTCATCTATACTTTTCGGTGGAATGGTGGCTAGCCTAGAAACTAGCTCGGTTCGATACTTACTAGCAACAAAAGTTGCAACCAACTTGCTAACATCAATCGTTGTCCACTGAAAAGTAAGGCAAGATTGGCGCAGACCAGGGCATGGTCAGAGTCCAGATAGGTACTCCAAAAGGAGCGGCATTCTTGCACACAACCACGCCAGCGGTAGCTGATAGCGATGTGATCAATCTGAGTCCAGGCTTGGGATGCAGAGGGAGGACGCCAGGTGGCACATCGGCGATGACTGTGCCGAAAGTTAATGCTAGCCAGAAACAGGTTGTGGTCTGTGCACAGTTGCAGTAGACGGTCCCCGTTATCTGACCTGCGACCAACAAGTCCCCATCGGCCACCTAACCGACTCTCTTCTGTCCCTAGACGCCCGACCTGAGCATTCCGGTCTCCGGCTAGTACTACAATATCTGTCGAACGCACTTTCTGGAGAAGAACTGATAACTGGTGGTAAAACTCATCCTTGATTGCATCCGGGCTGCAATCTGTCGGGGCATAGGCGGAGATGACGAAAAGACATCGTTTCTCACGCCGATTTCTTCCCACTTTGATGGAACTTTCTAATCTAACAGCACATAACTAACCGATTGTTAATGGGGATCCAATTGATTAGTGCTGCCTCAGCTCTAGCGCTTAGTGCGACACCAACGCCAGCAAGACCAGACGAAGATACCACAGGGTCCCCGGATAAGCGCACGTAAAACAAGCTTTTCAAAGCGACAGATGTAGAGCGAATTTGTAGTAGTTCACCAGAGTCTTGAATACGGGTCTCGGATAGACAGCAGACATCGATATGAAGACTGTCCAAAGACAGCCAGCGCTATCTGTTGTCCAACCTGCATAAGTGTGCGAACGTTGAAGGCAGCCAGTTTGAATAGCGCACGTGGTTTCAGAAAAACTGCTTCAGTACTCATATTCGGTGGTAGCATACAATTTTCAGCCGGACAGTGACTCGAGAACGTTTAGATAGAGTCGAATTTCCACCATAGACGAGCTGCTGTATAAGTCGAAAGAAATAAGAATAGACAGAGTAGGAATAAAAGAGGGTGAATAATGGTGTAGTAAATAATAATGATAATAACAATAATAATTTGAATCATTTCATTGTTAATTGAAGCAAGTAAAGTAGTTTCCATAATTATAGGCAGTTCATCATATTTGTGTGTGGGCTGTGATACTGCCCGGGTGCCTAGACCGAAGCAGGTGGTTATCTTTTGGGGCCACACCCCGAGCCTTTGACCTAAAGGTCTAACCCACAAGGCAGTGGAGCATCGTAAGGAGATGCAGTGCCATGGTAGCAGGTGACCAACGATTGGTTCATACGCCATTTGTTCCCACAGGATACTGGAGCCCATGTGCACCATTGGTTTGGTTTGGGATCCGGTTAAAGCGCCGGACATTCGCTTTTCGTCCTCTCATTTTCGTAAACAACACCCGTGGTGCGAGAAGGCAGTGAGTAGGACTTCCCTGTCAGAAGCTGTATACGCGTGGCCGTGTGAGAGTATTTCGAGAGGGAGGGCGAACCCACCCCCTCTCGGCCATATACTGAACGATGACCTTGGTATTAATGTATCTTATCTTTTCATTCCATCTAAGAGGACATTCTAAGAAAGTTCCAAATCCGAGATCAATTCGTTTATGTCTTGAGTTCCGCTTCTCGAAGCGAGTAGTGATCTACTAGAATTGTCTACCAGAATACATAATATCAGCACCTTCTGTTGATATAGTCAAAACGAGATTAACCTCCTTAGTGTTTCAAATTGCAAGGATTGATCTAGGTCGGTTTACCTCCTTTCCTTATTTTTAGAGACTCACGTTAAATGCGATTTTAACATCATATGCTGTCGCACTGTGACCGGTGTTCTCACGACAGAAAGTTTGGATTAAATGTATTATATTTGAATTAGCCCCATGTTAGGACGTATATCTGAGTCTTGATATTATCTGTCGAGTATACTAGGTTTTGGTTTATTACATTTAGTTTACTTACCTTTTAGATAACCTTTTTCTGCTCGCAAAACTGTCTCCCTTTGCTCCAAGGGAGTAATAGGAAACAAAAACACCAAGTGATAGAAAAGCTCGGTTCCCGTGGACCGATATAATGTCACTTTCAGCTGCTATTGACAATGGTAAGTCCTGAAATTCTGTGTAAACGGTAAACTGGTGAAATCCAGAAAATCGCTTTACTCAACAACCAGCTAAAATACAAGTAGCAGGTTTTATATGTGGCATAGTGGAGCGATTGGAAAACCAACATATTTGAATTTTTGTATCTGAAATCAAATTAAATATTTGTCCTAATTTTCCTGAAAATTTCTAGAATCTTCAAATATATTAAAATAAGAAGGCATTTGAATTTGCAGTATTGACCTAATGGATAGTTGATTCTTTTATATTGTTTTGCTTGCGGTTGAGGTTTATAGGTAATGCATGACGTTTGCAGTCTTGCATGCCACAGATATTTTAGTGGAATAAATGTACTGGCGTATACGGTCAACAAACCCACCGTAACCGTAGTTGCAGCTTTGCTGTGTTGTTCGAGCACGCCTTTCATCATCACTATTATTTAAAGCATATAAGTTGACCGAAATACTGCACGGCTGGGTGTTGGTAGGTGTGAGGAAAATCGGTTATTTTAGATGATTTTCAGTATCCGTCGATAGTAGAAGGTGACGAGCGAAATCTACCCTAAATCAATAGCCGCTTGCTTCACTAATAATTTTCTATCCATATGACAAACTTCAGTTTAAATCGAAAGTACATTTTTCGGAAACACTAGTTGTGACTGTTTTCATACAGTATATTATATTTCATGCTGTGAGACCATCAAAACTAGTTACTCAGTCATATCCAACGTATAAGCTAGCACATTGGTTAAAGTTGCCACATCCACTTCGTAGAGCGAGATGAAATTATCTAGACAAATTGCTGAATAGCAAATTATCAAGAGTATCATTGGTAGTAGAAACAGTTAGGTGTAGAAATCAGAGCACAAATATAAGATTTTTAAACCCAAGGTCTGGAATAAGATGCATGTATGCCATTGCGGTCGATTCAGAACCATGTTGTCCAAAGTCTTCAGCTACTGGTTACGATAATTGTGGGGACTAACCAGGTAGTTTGCAGCTATCCACGTAAATCTGTCTACTCTTAGTTGATTTCTCATACTGATGTTAGGTCTTGGTTTGACTGCTCCTAGCTTCCTTCAGCCTACTACTACGCCAAACATCGCCTGTCTAGGTAGGCGGTGATTGGGCATATATTACATGTAATACATATTCCAACCACCCTAGTTGGTAAAGATTCATTACCTCAGGTTTTGATCCAAACTAATCCTGATTGGAAATTCTGCATTTAAAGGAAAAGAAACGCATCTCGAACATGTATACGCTGTTGCCGAAGGAGATCAAAAGACTATTTATCAGCCTTCTTACTAAACAAAACCATATCATCTGCGTACTTCAAGTTAACTACTGAATTGCCTGTTTAAAGATTGATTCCAATGAAGTTAGAGGACGAGAGTTTTATCTCTATAAAATGACTATGAAGTTAAGTCAGAACTGAAAAATTGGACAGATATGATGACAGTTTTCCATAAACTAACTCAACTGGTAATTTTTAAATATAAGGTTGTTGTACTCCTTTAGTATGCGTTTTAATGCCGAATCTCACGATTAATAGAGTCAAACGCTACCCTAAGGCCAATAAATACACAAGAGTTGAACGTCAAAAAATTGTCTATGTTACAGAACTCGATCGATACATCCACATCTGAAAAAAACGTCGTTTTCCCAGTTTTACTCTAAACAAACTCTAGTTAAGGATTGAATAATTATTAGCGCTAATATTTTAGACACTATATTGGTCAAACTGATTTCTCTGTCGCAAGAGGATTTCTGTTACATCCTGTGTAAACTGAGAAAAGCTGCTTTCGAGATCAGTCAGTCAGCTACAACGTAGGACCAGACACATATGTACATTGGTTCAGATTGCCATAACTCATTAGCACAAGATGAAAACCAGATCCACAGACGTAGTTAATTCAGTGGTGGTAATATATAAAAGAAAATTGCATATAAGGACATATTACAGGAAGGAAGAATTAGTTCGTAGAAAGAAAGATATGAAGCGATTTTAATTTCATAGTTTAAGAGAAGACCACTGTATTCGAGATCAATCAAATGGGATTACGTTGTTTCTGGTATATCATTTTAGTTTGTAGTAACTTTATGATCTACCCTTTTTATATTACCTGATATATTCATTTGTAATTCGTAGAAACATCGTGATCAAAACCCAGTATACGGACCAAAAGTTGTACCTCGACTTGCTCAGGCGTCATCCCGACCATTACATACAAATACAAGATCTGACTGTTATTATTGCAATCGCTTCGGAAAATTGGCACGCAAATGTGGTCATAATGATGCTTTCTTGTCCAAAAGATCATCAGCAAACAGATTTGGGGCTCAGTGCATTCAAAATGAAAATATAGTCCAAAGAACAAGTATGGAAATATGGTTAACAGCTTATTCTAGTTAATTCTGCTTCTGTCTATTGTAAACTGTTTATTCTATAATTTTCTGCAAGATGAAATAAGGAACTACATTTTACTTCATTCTTTTCATCATATTTCAGTTATGAATTCGACAACTGGTGTAGTCAAGACCTAAGGTATAATTATTTTCGTTGCATGAGAGTTACTGTTAGTAGTAGTAGTAATGGTAAAGAACTAAAAGTAACAAGTGTTGGACAATTAAATCTAATGAAGGATAGAGGATGAATGCATTTACATCACTGCGATCAATTTCGTCCCATCAAATGGTGAATATCTCGTGTATGCCAAACAATAAATTTATGATTTTTTATACAGTGAAGCCAGGATGATAATTGACCTCCTGCGTGTGTTGATTAAAAAATAAATCATATATGATTTCCCGTGTTTTTTGACTGCTTATTCACTTTTCAGACAATCGTTGATAAGCTGAGTTTGAGAAAATCATATGTGCCTACGATTCTTACAAAACTTCTGAGATGAATGTTAAGGGTTTAGCATTTGTAAACCTTCAATGTTACTTTAGACAATAAAAATGGGAATGGGATAAATACGTTATCACAAATTTGGAGTATTTCGGCCTGATATTGATATGCTTTAAAGTTTATGAAGTTTTTATGGTCTTCGTTCATCTATATGTTAGACAAACTGTTATGTCAGAACTAGAAAGTAAATAGTCTTAGTTCCCTTCATATATGTCTGGTAAAATGTACCTTGTAGTGTCGGTTGCTATGTTAAGCCCACATAGGGTATTCTAGCTTCCGAACAAGCCAATTTATTCACCCTTCTTAAGTCACATTTTGACCGTGTTAGCTACTAGCTTATCAACTTTATTTTCATATGAGCGTATGTGTGTACACTTCTTATCACATGACTGTAACTTGTTTTTGTGTGACTATAAAATCGGTTAACCCTTGATTAAATCGAGTTGGCTCACACGCTTTCTCCACTGCACGTCATTTCGCTTCGCTCTCCTTACTTCGTTTCTTCGATCGTTTGTCTGGATGAATGTTTGTATGAAATATATGTATTCGAAATTCATTCTCGTATTTGACTTATTTAATTCCTTTATACATTAACACGAGTTAAGTCAAATAAATATATACGAGGATGGGCGATACGTCTATTTCGACAACGATTATTCATACGACCTACCTGGAGTCAGATATAGGGTCACCAAAACCTATTGGTTACCATGAATACACTCTTATCTGCTCTTTAACTACTTAGAAGTTTTTGTTGATTTATTATTTATTATATAAAAGCTCAATCCCAGGTACATTTCTTGCATTATGTATAATTTTTTACGCTTTATGAATAACATATGAAAACTTTATCCATAATCGTAGCTTTATTGACAATTACATGGCTGTTGATTAGTGTGACCCTATTTTGTTTACAATTCTTTATCAGAATTAAATAGGGCAGTTATTCCATCTGCGCCTCCTCCTTCATCATTTCCTGTACCTGGTTTACCTCCGACTCCTCCACCTACTTATCAGGAAAGCGTTACTTTACCACTTCCCCCAGAATACGAAGAAAGACTGCCAGAAGGTAAAATTTTCTTTATTTGTACGTAAAAATTTTGCAGAGAACTCCCACAAAGATTAATAATAAGCATATTTTTATGATATCCCAATGAATAGAAAACTGTACTTCTGATATTTCATGACTTAATGTAAGTCACATCTTCATGGTAAACAAATAGGCAAAATGAAATTAACACAGGTTCAAATACTGCACGTCCATTTTTTAAATTTTTTTCATCCCCGTCTTCCAATAATTTTCATTCTGTTTCGTCCAATCAAATAGCTAGTTTTAAGTTCGTTATAATTGGTTGCTTATTTCCTAAAATTGTTATAAATTGTCAGGACTTGACGACAGAGCACATTTTCTTCCAATTCTGGGAAATAGTGGCGTGCAGAGTGCGGGCTCTGTCGTTTCTCACGTTGTCACAGAAACCGATAACCTATTCTTGAGTACATTGTATCTTGTAGCGTTCCAATCACTTGAAGCGCTGAAGAGCGCCATTAGAACTTATGAAAGAGCTACGTACTGCCATTATGCGGTGAGAGATTCTCATTTCCATAGAGATCGGAAGCCGTATATTAAATTCGTATGTTGAAGAAGTGGCCGTAGAACACCTGGCGGTCCCTCACAGCCGAGTAGACGAAGGAGGTAATTTGATTAGTGTTATTTTAATTTTTCATAAAGGACTTCCGTGAACACTTAATGTCCTTCCTTCATCTTTTGTAAGTTACCAACTATCAAAATAACGTCGATATGGATGCAACGTTAAGCACTGACGAGGAGGGAATTGTTTCGACTAGCTCAAAGGAGTTCACTGGACGAGACAACGACAATGACGAAAACGCGTATGACAACAGACTGTGATATTTGCAATCTTGCACAACCGCCACATGAAACTGCTGATGGAAGTGCCTGGGTTTTTTGTCCATGCGAAGCAATGTTTCATTTATTTTGTGCTTACGACCCATCACCACACGTTCATGGAATCCACTGTCCCATGTGTGACGCTATAACGGAATCATAGCAACTCCTTTGTTCATGAAATTCGGAACTATTAAGAGAACGAGTAAAAAGCCCTTATCAGAACCACCCACAATATGATCTAAATTTTTTGTTTCACTTTCTTATTTCCATGGCAAAGGTCAAGTGATGAAGTTATGAAAATTCATTTTAGATTATTAATCATCATGTGATTATCGTCCACGTATTTGTAAACGCCTTTTAAGCTTTATCAACTATACGGTTTAAGTAAACGATTTCGTATAGGAAATGTCATCTAATGAACACTCATCTGTCTAACAACAGTATATGCAAAACTTATTCACAATGTTTCAATGTTTTGTCATATAGTTACGGTAGACGAATGTAGTACTACCAGTTCACTTGTACAACGACATCATTTCTGTGGGAAAGGTCAACTGAACCAACATTGATGAATTTTAATTAAGCCTTATTGATTAAGTAATATAATCAATTGAGATTTATAAAAATTTCGTGGATTATTTGAAGTTAGACATTAACAGGTTTTTCATGGTGCTCTAGCTTCAATTCACTCATGATCTCAACTATTCCAATGAAAAAATGTGATTGCCGTTCACGTGATAGTGATACATTTATACGTTTTATAAAATGTCTATAACAATTAATGTGGCACTTATCTGTCTAACATTGTTACAAGCAAAATGTAATAAGAATTGAAGCTAGAGCACCATGAAAAACCTGTTAATGTCTAACTTCAACTAATCCACGAAATTTCTATAAATCTCAATTGATTATATTACTTAATCAATAAGGCTTAATTAAAATTCATCAATGTTGGTTCAGTTGACCTTTCCCACAGAAATGATGTCGTTGTACAAGTGAACTGGTAGTACTACATTCGTCTACCGTAACTATATGACAAAATTAGAGATACATATCAAGAAAATGAATAACACTTACCTAGAACTGGAAAGGATTTTCCAGGACAGTGATTGTTCGAGAGTCGTAGTTGATGGTCTGTGCTTCCACGAGGGATAACAGGTGTAAGTAATTAAGTAAATACTAATAATCAACTTGTAATATGATTAAATTCTAGAAAATCCAAAGGAAGTTAGTAAATATACTTCAGTTTTTTTAAATAAATTATTGTAATGCAATTACGAAATAGATTAAAAGTGTATCCGAAGTAAACCCTATCGGGTTTCGGTCATTTTAGTTGTTCCTGCATTTCCTATATAATTTTATTATTAAATTATATTATTTTATAAATTGCATCTTGCTGGTGAGTGGCCTATGCTCCTCCACGAGGAGTAGCAGGCGTAAGTAAGTAAGTAATCAGTTGTATCTCTTGATGACAGTGTTATATTAGTACTGCATTCTATATTTGGGATATTTCAACGTTGAATTATATCACTATATATATATATATATATATATATATATATATATATATTCTTGTGTTGTTCAACTCGGTAACGTTAGTAATTTGTTGTTTTTGTAATCTATATTATCGTTTTTATGTTTCTGGAAACACTGTATATTGTGATTGTAATTTGGTATTTGAACTTAGAGTCGCATATTTCTCCCTCTCCCTTCCTCGTTCTATCTACTAGCTTGTTTATTGACAGCAATTTATCACTTGTTATTTATATAACATGTGAAGTTTCTAATATTATTTGGTGTTGTAAATGTCTTTCTTGAATTGTAGTCAAATTATTGAATTATATTTAGAGAAAATTCAAAAGTTTAACCAGATTCATTGTTTGTTTGTTTTTCTACGTGCAAATATTCATGTTTTTTTAGTTATTGTTACACAACCACCTGCAACTGTATTCAAATGGAATCCGGTGGCTATGACTTGTCCTTATTGTCATCATATTATTGTTACTAAAGTGAGATCCGAGTCAGGACTATTAGCTTGGTTACTTTGTGGAGTTATGTTTTTAACTGGGTGAGTTCTAGTTACAAAATGAATTTTGTTTTAGTTAGAAATAATTCTTCACTCAAATTTACAAATGTTTTTCCTTTTTTTAATAACATCTTATACATTAGATAACAATTCAGCATATAATTTTCGCTATTTTGTAACGTTGTCTTTCTATAGTCATAGAAATTTAGCTTTTATCAACAACACGTACATTGAATTACAGATATTTAACTATGAAGTGTATTTATATCATTGTCATTATCAACAGTTATGTTTCAAATATACCTAAAATCCAGTAATCAAATAGTCTACTTTTTAATGTGTTTGATATAACGTATATTATCTTAGCCAGTCAATAAACGTAGTTTATACTCTAAACTTACTTACTTACGCCTGTCACTCCCAATGGAACATAGACCATAGACCAACATTCTCCAACTCACTCTGTCCTGAGCCTTCCTTTCTAGTTCTACACAATTTTTGTTCATTCTTTTCATGTCTTTCTCCATTTCTCGGAGTAATGTGTTCTTTGATCTTCCTCTTCTCCTTTGACCTTGAGGATTCCAAGTGAGGGCCTGCCGTGTGGCGCAGTTGGGCGCTTTCCTCAATGTGTTTCCTATCCACTTCCAACGCTTCTTCCTGATTTTTCCTCCGCTGGAATCTGGTTTGTTCTCTTCCGCAGCAGGTTGTTGCTGATAGCGTCTGATCAACGGATCCGAAGTATTTTGCGTAGTAAACTTTTAATAAACATTTGTATCTTCTGGACGATGGCTTCCGTGGTTCTCTGAGTTTCCACCCCATACAGTAGAACTGTCTTGACATTTGTATTGAAAATCTTGAAGTTAATATATATCTTGATTCTAAATATTAATATTCTAACTGTACTGATGTTTCAATTATCAGTGAAATTTCTCCATAAAAATCTATTACTTCTAGATTTTTTGTAAAAATATCTCTTATCAATTATTTATGATAAAAGTTAATTCACTAACTAACTTATTCATGGGATACCTATTATGAAAAGGACTAGTGATATAACTGCCCTACCCGGTTACCCAAAACCAAATTAAGCTTATTCAATTACTACAATTCTTGTTTATCATTTTATAATGCCTAATCAACTGTATATTACAAGTTAATAAAATGTATTTACAATTGATTAATCACTGGGTTGTGACCAATGTCATGTGTATCAGGTCCTTCTCAGTGCAGATCGAATTCCATCAATGAAGTTTCAATGTAACCACTAGTCTAGGTGACTCAACATCGCCTGCACTATGTTGAGGTGGTGGTTCGAGGTAGTAGACAGAAAACCCTGGACATAGGTTTCGTGCTATTTGGCAATCATCAACAAGATGTATCTGAACTGATGCTCCTCTATCGACTACCTCCAACCATCATTTCACCCGACAAAATATATAGACTGAATCAAATGTTTGACTTCTCTAAATGCACAGATATTTTCTATTATGAAATAATTCAGTAAATAATTCTTACTATTGTTGTTATATATTACAGTAAAAATTGTTATTATATCTGGTTAGAAGTGTCGAATTCAGTTTCTGTAATAGCTAATTAACATTTGATTATGATTATTTTACAATCTTTGTTTAGTCACAGTAATATATATATATACATATATATATATATATATATATATATATATATATCACATTATGAAGTCATATTTTTCTCCTTTCTTTGCAATTCTCTACCAGATTATGGATCTTTTGTCTCATTCCTTTCTATTTGAAATCAACACAAGATGTTGTCCATATTTGTCCACTTTGTAAATCACAATTAGGTAGTTATAAACCATTGTGAATAGGTAAACACAATGAAAAAACTTACTCATCTACATTCTCAACAAATACATCATGAATTTTTTGTCTATACTGGTGATAATTTATTGTTCATTCTTCATTTTTGTTAAAACAATAACTGTTTTGTATTTTGTTATTAACAATATTAATATTGTTTAACAACCAATTAACGACTAACTGATTGGTTGTCATCATCGTCAATTATCATTCCAGATTGTCGTGAATATTTCATTTTGATTGCATAAATTTACAAATATGTACACCTACATTCGCCTTCTACATTTTCTTTGACTTGCTTTATATATATATATATATATATATATATATATATATATATAGTTTCAGACAAATGAATAGTAAGTATCAGTACCTCCTAGAAAGAAATAGAGATCAAATGTATGCCTAATTCACTAAGTTGCTTATATTCCATTATCACCAGTTGGACAGTGTTAGATCACGAGCTTGCTATTTATCCAAATGCAGGTTAACTGACAATATTCGAGAATACTATCTAGTTGTTAATGAGTCAAGTAGTTTGTTTTTAGAATACTGATAGATTTCTTAAATATCTAGTAAGAAAATTGAATGGTTACCTGTTAACAATAGGTATATAAGAGTACTGAGGCATATATGACATGTGATTACTTAAAAAATAAATGAGCAATGACTTCCAGGAAAAGGGCTGGAATATTTAGGCTTCAACTTTGAATCTCTTCCTTAATTCTTTATTACTTTCGTGTATAATCCTGAATTTGTATTTCTACTAACTTGCCGCTTCTTGTATGTTGTAAATTTCCGTATTAATAACGAAACATGTTAATAAATAGAGGTATAATGTTAGGTTAATGGAAAAGAAATTTAAAGCAATTAGTCCATTTGACAAATTTCGATAGTGTAATAAGATGAAGATTATCAGAACTATGTGATATATTAGCGCAATATATCTCGAACAATCTGATCACACATATACTTGTTAGGAACATTTATATATAAAAATAAAAGCCTTAGCCATACGAAAATTTAAACCCCATATGTGCATTCAAAAACTGTTTGTTCTCACCTTAAACCTACCCCGGTAATATTAGCTTATTATCCAGAGTGATGAGGTTTCAGGTCTGTGTTACTCGTAAGTTGTTGAGTGTAAACTCCGTTTCCTGACTGAATTTGAAGTATTTTGTTGAAATATATTGTTAAATAAGTTTGGTGATATATCAAAGAGATGCTCAGACGTCTCAGAATTTAAATGCTGAATATTGCTATATTTCAAAGACTAATACAAACATGAATGGAGGTTTATCAATATAGCAACAACCTTTAATTGTAATGATTTTTGTTAGGAATAATCGAAGATAGTTTTAAAAAAAACAATCAAGGTTTGATCAGATTAAAGCAATACCATACAACATTTTGTACTTACCTCACGACAAATCAAATGGTCTGATTTATATTTTTTGTGGACCATTTGTAAACGATAGGATAAAACACGTATATGGCTCGTTACGTGCGGCGTTAGAAACAGTTTTATTATAGTATCGATATTGCGTGTTGATAAATGCAAGATTAAGGGACTGAAATGACAACAAGAATGAGAGTAAGTGGTAGAGAATATTTGTGGATAATTTTGGTGGCGTTTGATTCTCTGAGTTGGATTCTTTGGTCGTGAAGCTTTCGCCAGCACAAACTCCAGATTGAAGTGAATTGTTCAAATGACTCACAGCTTGTACTTCAGACCTCGATCTTGATTGGCTAATGTTGACCTTTAACCTGTTTGCTTCTCTATTTTGATTGTATCTTCTATTGGTTTGATTCTTGGTCCTATATTTGTCCACGATTTTTGTGATTGGTTAATAAATTGGATCGATTTCAATGTGTTTATTGATCGCTGAGTGCCAAGCTTCTAAAAATTCTCTGGCGTTTTTAGAATCCCCCCTATCCAAGATCTCAACATTTCTCTAGTCGAATGTGTGTCCACAATTTTTCACACGCATTGATATAAGTGAGGATAGGTCAAGGTTTTTGTGCGAGTGATAAGAACGAAGTGCATGAGATATGTGTACTGAGGAGTCCCATACTAGGACGAAACGGCCGTCCAGTGCTTCCAGGTTTTCCATGGTGGTCTAGCTTCAATTGACTCATGATTTCAACCTGTGAGATTTTATTATTAGTCATTCTATTACGCAAAGGGGGACGAAGTCAATTTAGGTGACTCATGCAATTTTGATATGTTAACATTTAGTGAAGACCTCACCTGTTCAGTCCTGTGTCATAGACATTACAAATAGAAAAAAATACAACTAAGGTATTCTACACAAGCTTTCTCTTAAGCCACATTTGTATAAATAGATGCGGACATTTATTTTGTTATGATGTGAAGGATACATTGATACTGAAAACCTTGGTCTAGTTGTGAAATTAATGGAAAATTCATTTGAGATATGTGATGTCGATCGTTTATTTACATTGATGGAGTAATCACGTGACGTAGATGCATATTAGAACAAAGTCTGAAATTTAAAACAGTCCTTTTGATAAGTTTCGATAATTCAATGAGAAGACGAAAATTATCAGAATTATGTGATATATTTACGTAATACATTAGGAACCATCTGAACACATACCTAAATGGCTACAAAAACAAATGAATTCTAATGGTTAAATCAGATCACCAGATAGACAAATATCTTTCTCTATTGCGAAACATTTTGTTGAAACCGGTCATAAGGTTGATATCAAGTCAGCCTTTGTAGTTTTGTACTCAAGTTTCAAGGGTGTGTTCTAGGGCTTATTGAAGCTTTGGCTATACGAAAACTAAAACCCCCTTTATATGTTTAGAAACGATTTATTTTTACCCTTAACCTACCTTGGTAGTACTGATTTATTATCCAATGTGGTTTTCACATTGATTTTGTCTACTTTATCATTATCTTTGTGTCCGCTTACCTTTTAATTTGTCTAGTTGACCTTTTATTTTTCACATAATTGTGATAACATTCGTCTTCTCAATACATTATCGAAAGTCTAAAATGAAGATTTGTAACTCAAGGGGATGTTCGTTGGTTGAGTCGCGTTCTTTGAGCAGGACGGCTTAATTTCGAAGCTCTGGTTGTCATCAGCTTGAACTTCATGGAGAATTCTCATCAGCTCATATAAATCAATACCGTTAATGTATAAGATTTCATCCAGTCTCTTATCGTTGCTGTTTACTTGTTTCTATGATTTTCATTCCCGAATACTTTCGCGTATGTTCATTACACTATAATTTATAAATATACTCAAGATTTGCTTTGTTAAGAGATATTTTAATAAACTCTACGTATAACTTGAGTATATGGGCTGGGTGATACATAAAAATAATCAACTGTCAAGTAATACAAGTTCTAACCACGTTTCTCTCATCTTCGTAACGTTTTAGTGTAGTCTATTTTCATAATCATTGCAAGTGTATCTTAACAAAAACGATTAATATTGCTTCAGGATTGGTTTGCACCATCTTCTAGATTGATCATATGGAGTAAATATACGAGTTCATTAACCACTTCGTTTATGTTGGAAGTCTCATTAGTCTTGGTGAGTGAGGGTCTTACGAAATCTCAGTACTGAATGAAAAATTACACTAGCTTAAACTGATCCATTGCATGATACTTAAAGAGAAAAGTTTAATTTAAGTCAAATCGATTTAAAAGTCCAGCATTGAACAATTATCCAAAGAGTTCTTTTTCTCTTGTTAGCTTTTTTCTATCTTCTGTTTAGTTAAACTGGGTGAACTTCAGATATCGAGGTCCTCATAATCCAGTCGACCACCAGAAGAAACAGGAAGGGAGAGAGTAAACAGCCTTGTCTGACTCCGGTCCTTACTTACAATGCATCTGTCAGCTGTCCTCCATGCACGACCTCGCACTGTAGTCCGTCGTATGAGTTCCGGATAATGTTGACAATCTTCTCAGGAACTCACTCCATAGTGTCGAAGAAGTTTCCATAACGTCCTCCTATCCACACTGTCAAATGCCATTTCATAATCAATGAAGTTGATGTATAGTGACGAGTTCCATTTAACTGATTGTTTGACGACAATCCGTAGTGTTGCAATTTGGTCCGTGCACGACCGAACTTTACTGAATCCAGCTTGTTGATCTCGAAGTTGAGCGTCTACTGCATCTTTCATCCAGCTGAGCAACACTCTGTTAAAGACTTTCCATGGTATTGACAGTAGTATAATGTCTCTGTAGTTTTCACATTTGCTCAAATCTCCTTTCTTTGGAATCTTGATGAGGAATCCTTCTTTCCAGTCCATCGGCACTTGTTCCTCCTCCCAAATCTTCTTGAATATAAGGTGGAGCATGTTTGTAGTTACTTCGATGTCTGACTTCAGTGCTTCAGCTTGTATATTGTCAGGTCCTGTTGCTTTCTCGTTCCTGATTTGTCTGATGACCATCCTGATACCTACGATCGTTGATGGAGTGACATCTATAGGAAGGTCTGTGTGTGCTGCTTCGATGTCCGGTGGATTCACTGGAGCCGGCCTATTCAGGAGTTCCTCGAAGTATTCTACCCATCTGTTCCGCTGTTGTTGAATTACAGTGATTGGCTTGCCTTTGTAGTGTTAGTCATTAGTTTTAGCCCATAATATGTCTTATTTTAGTTTCCGGACATTCTATTCTATTCATTCTACTTGGGTCATGTTTGACCTTGTTAATTATTCGCTTATTAGCCTTGACTGTTTTCACATGAGCGTATATGTGTGTACACTTCATGTCCCATGACTCATCACATGTCTGTCGTTTATTTTGTCTGCCTA